CGAAACTCGGATTCTAGCGTTGTAAGTCCGCAGACATACCGCTGTGCCACTGGGGGGCAGTATTTTGTTAAAGTTAGGTTAAAGTTAGTTTGCGCTGCCGAACTTCATAAGGTCAGAAACTTGATAAAGGTTTACTGGTCGGTTTTATGACGTGGGTGATTGTGCTATACGTTTCAAATGATTTATCGAAATAAAACCAACAACACAATCTTATATTCCAATCTATTTCAAAACGTTATTTTCTAAACACGAATCGCAAATATAGAAAACAATTGTGTTCGTAATTTATTTTGGTTCCACTTAAACAGATGAAAATAAGGAACCAAGTTATTATGTTGTTTTCCTATGCAATTCGTTAATTTTCAAACACCCCCAATATTTCTATCTGTGGATTCCTGATGGAATCTATACCCCATAACGGCACTGGTGTAACGTTCCTATAACCATGAGTTGAATAATTAGCGTCCAATCTGCCTCGATACTGAAACGCCAAACTTGGATTGTTTACAAACACCGAACGTCTGCTCACAGTCACGTGTCCCGTGGTTCGAGACACGGCTTCGTAGTTAGATCGCGCATCACATAGAAACAGACGTCGGGGTGTGGCAAAGAGTTTTTCATTCCACCCACAAGAGGGCTTTATTTTTCCTGTGGATTGTTCAAGGTTGTGATTTGAAAGGGTAAGAGCACGTATACGTGGGCAAACAAAAACGTTGTCCTGTTTCGAAATATTCCATAAAAAACATATCTTATGATTAAACAGATTCGATATTAATGTTATGATTCTAAACAAAAACATTGATGATTTTCTGTTATCAAGAATATATAAAAAATGTCATATTTTCACCACTATAACATCAGTCTGAAACGTTATTACTCATTCTATGTCCAAGAATAAGATACGCCAATCAAAGCAGGCTCCCATATCGTCCCTTGGTGACATCACACAATATTTTGTAAAATTATCTTTCATAGCGCGTGATACCCTGTCTGACAAATTTGGGGCCGAGATCGAACCAGTAGTTAACGTGCCAAACTTTGAGCCGAAGATCAACGGTTCGTGTCCCGTTACCAAAACAAATCGCGTTCCACAATTTAAGGTCATTATAATAGTGATTATTGACAAGAGTAGCCCAAACATTGGTCGTATTGTTCAAAATTTGGGCAGGCTGGCGAAGATAGCCCTGGTTTAGCTTTGCGCGAAATCCAACAAACAAACTTGTAAATAATTTAAAAAGAGCTGTTAAGTGTATTGATTCGATTACTCGTTGTTTTTTAAAGCTGGCAGTAGCTGAAATTTGTCAGTGTATACCTCGGTCACGTTTATACCACTAGGTGGCGCTAATAATAGAATCTTAAAACATAGTAATCTAATTCGCGCCTAATCTATAAATACGAACAAAAAGATCTATACATTTCATTTAATCCGCAAGAAGTAGCTATATCATAACTCCTAAAATGATGTGACGAATAATTAACGCTATTATTTGATTACCGACACAGGCCGATGTCTTGATCTCAGACGCAGAAATAAGAATATTATTTTTAAAACTTACAAACAGCACACTGATTGGCTAACTTCTCTTGAAAATAATTGTTCACTTTAAATATCATTATTAAGTAACTCGGTAACCATTTTATCCAGTAAAATAAATAGAATTAGTAATAAGATGTCAGTATTATAATGATAAATAACAGAAAATCAAATCCTTACCTGATCGTGCCAGTTGGAGAAGGAATGGGGCTTGCCAAATTGAGTTCCGGTTCCGGAATGGTGATCTTGAGCGGTACCATGGGCTTACGTATGGGGGAGTCGAGAATCTGGGAGTGGAATGGAGGATTCAGCTCATCAACCAGAGACTGGAACATCACCTTGATGTTGGTGCTAGGAAACCTAAAAACGCATCTACAGAAAGCAAATTATGCTATTAATATGGCGGGAGCTAAGGTGTAAGTGTATTGGTAAACATGTTAATTCACGCTACTAGCTGTCGTGTAGTTGAATTAAAATATTTACTGCCGTTTGTCATCACATAACAAAGATTGAAAAAAAAAAATCCTTCTTGAAATAGACATTTCCTGACAAACATCAACGATTGTTTAATAAGGCTAATCTACACAGAATTAATTGAAAAACTGCAAAATAAGGCAGTATTTGTTTAAAGAGCCCCCCCCCTCTACTACTAGTTTCGGTAGACAAAAAACAACAAAACACATCTGTCAATTCCCGACTTTATATATAGTAAGGTACACCGATAAACATTTTAAACTCACTATAAGTGACATCATCTTTTTATTATACTTGCCGAAGACATTTTTTTCAATCACTACACATTTGAAAATTTACCATAAATGAACAGTTTTCTTAAAACACACATTTTCACGAGTTTAGAAATAGCAGCCCCCCCCCCCCGGTATGTCTGCGGACTTACAACGCTAGAAACCGGGTTTCGATACCCGAGGTGGGTAGAACACAAATAGCCTATTGTATAGCTTTGGGCTTAATTACAAACACACTAAGAAATACTATTATATTTAAACCTGTAACGAAATTCACAACTGTAAATATGACGGAAAAAATATATCCAACGGAATACTTGTGTTGGCTTTAATAATAGTAACTGTATTATATAAGATACTTGATAACAACACGATGTTGGATATCAAAATACATTCTACGTATAAAAGTTTTGGTGCTCGTGGGGAAAACCCGCCATGTACACGTAATCTCAACCCTAAAACCCAGCGCGTTTGAATGAAGGTCAGGCCTATGGCAAGCAAATTATTAATCCCAGCAAAACATCGATAAGGCCATCAAGGTCACGCCCAATAACGATAATACATTGGTTTGTAAACACAACGGATACACCTTAATATTTATCATAAAAATTCCAATGAAATTAAAGCACAGATAAGGCGAACAATAATACAAAAAATTCCACGCAGAAGTCAGTGAAGCTAAAAATAATTGCATATATATATATATTTATATTTATATATATATTTATATAGGGGTAATTGAAAAACACGTTTTATTTATTTACTAAAAAATTCAAATAATTTATTTTCCCAAATTCTGAATATTCTATATATTTTTTTAATTAGCCGAATAAATACTTCTTATTTTATAAGCAGTCTTAAAATCGTGCTGATTTTAAAATTTCATAGTTAACACAGAAGTTCTTGGGTTTATTATATACTGTTTGTTGACAGATAAGCACAAAGCTACATAATAAGCTATCTGTGCTGTGCCAACCACGGGTATCGAAACCCTATTTTTAGCGTTGTAACCCTTCAGATTTACAGCTATGGGGATGGTAATTATAGAGATACCTAAAAATGTAAATCATATTTCAAAAGAAATTAAATTTCAAGAAATTTGGTCGAATAATTTTTTTCTTTTGTGGCCTAGAGCTGAAATTTTATGATAAAAAAAAAAGCTAGGCTTAACCCAAATTTTACATCATAATGCCACACAACTACAATAGTGCAACTTGTTATAAATGCTGGCGAAATAAATGAACCATAGCACGTGCTTCCCCAGTCATTTAAAGAAACGAAACATTTACACCGCGAGTTGAGTTGGTAAAAACAACCATGCAGATACAAAAATATAAAACAAAAAAATGCAAACACTTGTTTAATAATATAATCATAGGGAAAACGCTTACGGGGTTTTGGTTTCAATTTCGCGCAAAGTTAAACTAGGGCTATCTGCGCTAGCCGTCCATAATTTAGCAGTGATATACTCGAGGGGAGGCATCTAGTCAACATCACCCATCGCCTACACTTGGGCTACTCTTTTTACCAACGAATGGTGGGATTGACCGTCACATTATAACGCCACACCGGAGGGGGGGATTCGAACCCGCGAGCCTCGGATTCCGAGTCGAGCACTCTAACCACCAGGCCACAGATAAGGCTATCGATATTGTGTAAATAAGTATACTACCAAAGTGAACACAAAAACTACAACCCAGTGTAGTACTTGCATCAAATTAGTCAAAAGCTACAACCCAGTGTAGTACTTACATCAAGTGCGTCAAAAACTACAATCCAGTGTAGTAGCTTACACCAAATACGTCAAAAAACTACAATCCAACGTAGTAGCTTATATCAAATGCGTCAAAAACTACAATCCAGCGTAGTAGCTTATATCAAGTGCGTCAAAAACTACAACCCAGTGTAGTATCTTACATCAAATGCGTCTTATAGCTGCATACTCCACAAAGTTTCTGTTATCCATTGAAATATGTATTTCAATAACATGTATTCGTCATAAAACAATGATAACAACCACTAGTATGATACCACTGACTTTATATAACAATAAAACATCGAACAAAATCAACTGATTGATTGTTTTGTTGAATTTCGCGCAAAGCTACTCGAGGGCTAACTGCACAAGCCGTTCCTAATTTAGAAATGATAGACTACAGAGAAGGCAGCTAGTCAACACCATCCACCGTAAACTCTTTAATAGCGAATAGTGGGTTTAACTGTTACATCATAATTCCCCCACGACTAAAAGGGGGGCGAGGATGTTCGTTGACGGGTTTCGATCCCGTGAACCCGAAGCTTGCGAGTTCGAGCGCTCTAAACGGGAGGCCATGCCAGACCAAATTAAATCACTAGCAACCGTTTCACTTCTTAAAGAGTGGTTGACACAGTATGACATGTTCCTCTTGGATTTCACTCATAGAATCATGATTTGGCGAGCGGCCTACTAAAGAAGGACTCGTTAGGTTTTACTTGGGGATTGGTTGGCTCATGACATTTTTGTCCTCCGTCTCCCTCTGGCACTATGTTTGAATCATCAGAATTTCATCTGTAAAAATGTTACTTTTTCATTTTATAAATCTGATCGAGCATCGGTAAATGAAAGTATCACGTACTGTGGGAGGTCCTTCAAGTATCCTTCACCATCCATAATGCAATAAACGTTTAAAGAAATGGACTGAATTGCGACATCTCCATGTATTCGAGATATCCTGTATTTCAATAATAATCGTCAAATAACATTCATTACTTAATCTTTATTCTATGTTAGACCAGGCTTTAAGCCTACTGTTGTACCAGCAGCGTAATGAGTGTCATTCTACTGAAGTGAACCATGTGTACGACTTGGAACCAAAAAGTCTGACTTAATCATTGTGAATGTCGTGTGTATACTATCTATATCTTACAGAAAAAAATTGTAGTAGCACCGTCTACGTGCTCAGCATATGTGGCAAAAACTTGATTCTAATACATACACATAGACGATGAACCCGACTTTAAAATACACCTCTTTCTACACGTGGTCAGAAGATTGTCTTCACTGCCTTAGGCCAGAATAGAATAACCAACTGAAAATATTTCAAGGTACATTTGTTGAAACATATAATTATTATAGGTTATCCTACAATTGTAAAGTCAGTACTTCTAGTGGAAAAAGCAGAGGATAATATTATCTCACTAGTTCACCTAGTAAGTCCTTATGCCTACTGTACAATACAAACCTAATCATAGTCACCTTGTAACTGTGCGGAATCAACGATAATACGAGGTGGCGCTGTGTTCTACCTTACAGTACTAGTTTTTAAACGATAATACGAGGTGGCGCTGTGTTCTACCTTACAGTACTAGTTTTTCTTGGTTCTTCTGTGGGCAACACGTTCACCACGAGTGATGACATTGATACACAAACGAACACATCTCCAACACAGTCGGCGTTGGTTTGTTGTTAAGCGCAAAGCTACACAATGGGCTGTCCGTGCTGTGCCCACCGTGGGTATCGAAACCCAGTTGTTAGTGTTAAATGGGGGCACAGTTGATGCACTCCAATTCGAACAGTTTAATATTTACTTACATACAGACGATTGAGTTGGACAGGACAACGAGGCAGGCACAAGCACGTGTTTCAAATTATAATCACGGGGAAGAAATTTCACAAAACAATAACGAAACAGTTCTTTTTCCTAACAAGAGCTGTTGAACTAAAGTTAAACAGTAAAAAATACTTTCTTTGGCTTTCCACACTGTACTTGGAGAAGCTAAAAATGTGTTTTATTTCGTCACAGTGCTTGCAGATATTCAAAAAGGGACTTTTTCAAGTAATCCTAGAGAGTTTTATATCAAATATTATAATTACCCCTTCAATGCTTGTTACTCGTGATATACCAAGTTACTTTACCTATAATATATATATACACCTGGAAAAAAGTTAAGCACCCCCAAATATTTTTCAGGATTGCTTATTGAAAATAAGGTTTAATTTCATGATGTTGAGCAATG